GTTGAGCATTAAAAAGATTATAATACGTGCCACCTTTAGCTATTAGTTCATAATGACTACCATATTCGATAACAGCTTCTTCATTCATTACAATAATTTTTGTGGCATTGCGGATAGTAGACAATCGATGAGTAACAATAATAGTCTAAAGAACAAAAGTTTTGGTTAAATTTTAAACCATGAAATATAGATCAGGCAGTTAAAGCTAAAACATGCTCCTTAATTAATAATTCTAACAAAAACAGATAAATTTTACTATATTTGCCAAAATATTGCTGGGTGAAATACGGTAAATATGCAAATGTCCACTTCATCTTTTAAAAAAATATTTTTAACTCACTGTTCTATTTTTAGAGGCTTTATTCAACGCGTCTTGAACAATTTTTTCACTTTGAGAGTCAAGAGCACTGGTAGCTTCATCTAAAAATAGTATTTTTGGGTCTCTTACAATAGTACGAGCTATAGCGATACATTGTTTTTGACCTCCAGATAAGAGTATTCTGCCCTCACCGACCATTGTTTCATACTGATTAGGAAGTTTTACAATAAATTCGTCAGCATTAGATATTTCACAGGCATTTTTAATCATTTTATATTTTTTCTCAACAGACAAGTCTTCATATATTGAGCCAATTAATCCATGTGCAACATTATTAACTAAAAAAAATTATTGTTAGCATCAGGAAAAGCTAGAGTAATTATTTTAAATTAATCTAATACTCACAAATTGTATCATTAAAAAGTACAGGTTCTTGTTCTACAAGACTAATTTGTTGACGGAGCCACTTAATATTAAGAAATTTAATATTATTATTGTCAAGAATAATTTCTCCAAAGTCAGGATCATAAAATCGTAGTGCTAATGACATAATCGTGCCTAAGAGTAAACATTTAAATTTTTATCATGAAATTTAATTAAATATAAGTGAGTAATTACATACTCTTTCCTGAACCAGAAGCACCAACAATAGCAACAAATGTCCCAGATTCAATGTAAAATGAGATATTATCTAAAACTTTAACATTAGGTCTAGATTGGTAACTAAATGAAACATTTTTAAACTGAAAATGGCCTTCAACATGATCAGGAATTTTACTAGTTGGTGAGGCAGAATCAATCGGTGGAACAAGATCAATAGTTTCAAAAATCTTTGCGCCAGCTCCAACTGTAATTGCAAAGGTCTGCAAATTCAGAGCAATATTTGCAAGAGAGAATGCACCAATAATTACAGCAAAAAAAGCATTTATCACCTTAAATGAAAGTATTAGTTCAACATTAATTTTATAAATAGAAATTGTCGATTTAAATCTATTATAGATGACACCTCTGGAAATTTTTCCAGAGGTGTCACCTATAATAGATTTAAGCCAAATTGTCTAATATAAAAAAAGATAAAACCTGGCCAG